CCCTACCCCGCCAAACCTGAAGCTGAAGTACCGCACGAAGCCCCTCCGCGCTCGTCCTGTCTGTTCAAATGTCACCCGTGGCCTGTCATCGGCCGGGTGCTAGTCGGGTGGGCGGCTGTTTGCCCGAGACTGCTGGGCAAACACACAGTTCATTGACTGGAGTCCTCTGGCACTGTGGTCTACCCTCTTATCGCGTGCAGCGTGAAGCAACGGCCTTTGTTTAAGTCGGAGCGCCCCGTTTAGAAACCGAAATTGTACGACATTTTTCCAGAAATTAGCGTTGTTGCGTCTGGTATCTCGTTTCCCCAGACACGCAAATTCTATTAGTAACACCTCTACGAAACCAGCCCCTGTGGTGTAGCGGTTAGGCGCTTCGCCGTTGCACGTAAAATATGTAAGTTTGATTCCCGTCTGCGGAGACTTGTTGTTGTTATTTTTAAAGTTAAATCAAATATCTCCAACAGTCTGCTGGAATGTTGACAGGCAGGAACGACGCAGCCTACCTCAAACACCATGTGTAATTTGATAGTGGCATAGATTTACAACAACAGTTTCAAAGTAAAAAGCAAAAATAAATGAACGAATGGATAAATACATGAATTATAAATAAGTAAATAAACTAAAGTAATTCATAGATTTTAGATTAATTAATTAATTAATTAATTAATTAATTGTTAATGAATAAAATCTTCGAATAATTCAAGAAATATTATGTTGGCGAAGCCATGGCCAGTAGTGGTCAGTCTTGGTTGCACTGGAGTGTGGAAAGTACATAGAAACGTTGAGAGAGAGAGAGAGAGAGAAAGAAAGAGAGAGAGAGAGAGAGAGAGAGAGAGAGACAGACGGACAGACAGACAGACAGACAGAGACAGACAGACAGACCCCCAACCAATCAATCCATCACCTCTTCACAACACCAGCAGTCACACCCAAGATCTCCCCAGGGACAACAACTGCCCCGCCCCTTTTTCCACCACAATTTTTTTCTACCACATCAGAGATCCCCAGCGCTCGACGAGTGTTCCTATCAGAGACCAAATGCCGAGAGTGTGTCCTGGATTTCCCGCCAACATCTGAACGTCTTCATCTTGTCAACGGCTCAAGAGCTGCCACAGGTCGCCACCCGGTCACTGACAGACAGTCGGAACCTGACACGCGCGCGCACGCGCACTCAACGGGCATCTGTTTGCTGACAGCACAATGTCCAGAGCAGTCAGTGAACATCTCTAAACGGACCATTTTTATTTATGTATTTATTTATTTATTCGTTTATTTACTTATCTATTTATTCTGGTATTAATTTATTTATTTATTTATTTAGTTGTTAATTAATTAATTTATTTATTTATTTTCGTACTCTCGGTCTGTTTTGCGCCCCAAACGACAAAATCTAGATCATTTAGAAAGCAGGCTTAAGGATCACCTTCAATCCAAACCTAATTTTAACTCATTCTGTTAACATTTAAGAGTACCTTCCAAAACGACACATGCCTGATAGCCAGGCAAGAAGAGATTCTACTTTCTGTTTAGATACAATATCCAAGTAGGTAAGAAATCAACTCCACTGCAAGATGA